ATAATATATATAATATATATAATATATATATATATATATATATATATATATATATATGTGTGTGTGTGTGTGCGTGTGTGTGTGTGCGTGTGTGTGTAGGCATATGTATATGCATATATGTGTAAATGTATATGTATATGTATTTGTGTATGTATGTATATGTACTTTTTATTCATATATATATATATATATGAAATTTTCTGAGTTGGATGAGCATATAGACCTCTATACTCATGATAGTACGTATGCGTCAGAAGATGTATCAGTTTGCATACTTCGGATATTGTTTAGCCAATTTTCCACCTCTAAAATCAATAGAAACATATTTGAAATCGGGCATTTAGCAGAGATACAGAAACGTGTACAAGATCTTATTCGGCACTCCTATGGTGATCCTTGATAAAATTACTATTCTCAAGCGCATGAAGCACTGCATAATCGAATCCACAGCTCAGAAATACCTTAACGACCAGGAAAGGGTCTTCACATTTTCCGTTCGGATCGAATCGAAGAACGCGGATTTTTTATCACCCCCTCCGCCGCCACCGTGTCCACCTCGGCCACCACCACCACCACCACCACCACCTCTGCCGCCTCTACGCGACATAATGGGCGTTTGAAAATATAGAGATGAGAAACTTGTAAAGTGGTATTTATGTACCTTTTGTATACAGCCACAGATGTAAATGCTATTTTCGGATACAGTACATGAAAAAGTGTATTGTTACAGTATTGAATTTGTAGTGTTTATTTTTGTCTGAAGAAGGCTTGATGAGAAGGGCGAGGTCACGCTGATTCACGGAAAGAGATGTTGAGTTGACACAGGGTTTTACATTGTAGGGTTTTGTTAAATACATCAGAGTTCACCGCCGGCCGGATGATTTTATTTTCTAAAAAGTATTATCACGACATATTTATTTGGCTGTGTTGGTTTGCCGGCAATGGGCTCTCCTGTTATTTACGAGAATATTCACCATGTACGCTCTCTCTGTAGGGAGAGAGCGAGAGAGATACAATATAGTACAATATAGAAGAATAGAATGGAAACTAGTTTGAAGTATATTTAGACCGGCCGACAGCTCCGACATGGGTAGCCCTTCCACACAAAACAACCTTAACTTGTAATCATAGTATAATCGACAAAATCGACATACTAGCTGAAGTAAACAACGCCCTGCAACCGGCCAGGCACTTCGTGTAGCCTACTGTTTTCGAATATGTCCTCGCTGATCAAATACGCGCGCAGTCCACAGCTGCTGTACTGCTATGCATCAAAACGGGGTGAACACGTAAGTAATTTCTAGTAAATTGAGTGGAATGATTTTTTGTTTATAGTCTGGCCGTGTTCATATTTCTCGAATGTCTTTCAGGCCTTGCGTTGGGCGTTGCTTGGAGAAGCCACCTTTTCACTCCATCTTTCTCACTGGTTAATAATCAGCAGTAGTGCATTAGGGCTGGTAGTGTTGACAGGGTGGGGAAATTTATGTCGGGTATATAGAAGTTTTTGTCCATTTCGATGGGCTTGAACGTTAGAATTTCCCTCCGACATTCACCATCGGACGTTACCACCGACGTCAATTTGTCAGAAAATTGCTCCACTAAATCGCGTTCACGAGGTAAATGTGTATTATAGATGGTGCTTCGGTTGTCGCCTCACCCGGCTATAGGTACTGCTTTCTTGGTATATATCCTGTTATACTTAGATCGGTCAAGCATCTATTCCCAGCGCACTTCTGGCTAGGTGTACAGCCCCATATTATGCTGATCTTTTGCTGTCTTTCCAACAGCTCCTGAAACACGATCACGGCCACTAAATAGGTTTCTCATGTCACACTCGTATCTCAAATGAATGTCTAATCACAGACCGGCCCGTACCACCGGTCTCGCATGGAATGGTACGCTGAGATGTTTTTATCGCTGGTGCCTACCTTGGCGTCACTTCCACCAATCTACTATCTGTGGCACTTAGGATATGGCCTAGATCGTATGTTTCGAGCTTATTTCGCACGCGTACTTTATGCAAGATTTTCATTCTTCCGAATATAGAAACGCTACTTATCTATCGCTATTTGTTCTTCGATCTAAAGTTTGTGCTCTCCTCATATATTTTGATGTAACTCGTGGTGAATGTGCGAAACTTATCTTTTTATTGCCAGATCCCCCACTTCGCTTGTGTATGATTTTATGTCCTTCGTAGAGTACTATCCGAAAAACATCCCTTAGAATGGCGTCAATATAAGCCAACTAACCCAATTAACCCATCGAAACTCAAACACTTTGTAAATATGTTACACTGCAGCGTCGAGGTTTCTATCGTACTACGGTGTGCTCTCCGGTTTCATGGCAGCAGCATATGTTGCACGTGGTAGGTAACAGGGACGCTACGTGTGTTCTGGGTACCCACCTTTTGGCATCACCTATTTGCACGCTGCGCTTGTTGACCGTCAGTTACCTATATGTCCCTCGAGATGCATAAGTACAAGCGTGTACTACACTGCGAAACGGCAATGTCTTCAGAAGGTTTTATCCTTATACCGCGAACATATATTTTTGGCTTGAATAAGAGGTGTGACACTATCGGCTTCTATATAGTTTCCAACAACACTTTCCTACAAGTCGTATTTGATTTCCAGTTATTGCTAGTCGTAGAGGTCTTTCTGTCCCACTAGCCCGTCAGAGTGTATCTGGTTTTTGGTCTGTAACGTAATTGAACTTAAAATAAGTCCCGCTGCGTGATCTATTTCAGTTTTTAGCCGAATCGGCAACGCCGACTATCTACGATTTATGAAAGTGTATATGGCTGAACAAGACAGACCATCTGTAAGGTGGGACAAAGCAACTAAACGAATGGTATGTCAGCAAGAATCGCGTCGCACTTTAGCTTGAGCGGTTTTTAAGAATTTGGTTACGTAGCAAGTATCAATCGAAGCTGTCGCTCCGAGTATACGATTGACACTTGCACTGGTGGGCTTCTCATTAGACTTTCATTGCAGTAGTCTTTGTGCTGGTTTTGAGCCAAAATTTTACAATGCCAACACTCCTCCGTGATTTTGGATGGTCTTCAAACCTATCCATTATTTCGTAGATTTTGTGACTAATTTCACTTTCACTTTCTCCCCCGTGGTTTTTCTCCGATTATATCTCCCGATGAAGACACCGACACAACTGGACAGCTTTGACTATGAATTCTCTTTCCGACCTATCGACTACTCGGCCAAACGCGCAGTGCAGCCAGTACCCACTCGAGCCGAGACTCACTCCACTGTAGTAACGGATTTTGTCACTGGAGTCATTGCTGCCTGTATAGGTCGGCCTATGATATACCCTGGCTCCACTTGGCTAATGCGAACACTTTTAAGAGACGCGTTGGCCAATGAAAGGGCGTCACTAATTACAAAGGTAAATGTATACTCTATTTTCTTTTCCTTTGATCTGGGCCTTGGTGTGCAGCTGAATTGAAACCGTGAATCCAATTAAGGCACACAATGAGTTAGTTGATTATGTTCTGTTGTATATGCTTTGAACGTGCTACATTACATATCTGATCAAACTCTCAGCGATCTGGCGTAAGATGCAAAGTGGTCACGGTGGACAACCTCGCCTTGGATTGCATGTACTACGACAAGCGTACCACTAGGGAAGCCGAAAACCGTGTAGCAACGGGTGCCTCAGGAGACATCAACTCGGATCACGATTCGGACTCATCTGAGGAGGGTCTGCGCACAGCCCGTGGCAACACGCTCGTCATCACTTGTGAGGGCAATGCGTCATTCTACGAGGCCAGTGTGGGCATGGCCAATGTGGATCTGGGCTACTCGGTGTTGGGCTGGAATCGCCCCGGGTTTATCAACAGCGAGGTACTTCTATGTTTTGGTCGGCTTACCCTTGTAGATAAATTCTTTCGAACCCATAGGAAGCTGCATGCTTCAATACCTTTCAAAAGTATTTTTCTGATCACAAGTACTTTTTATGCATCTGCGTCGTAAACTGTTCAGCACTATAATTTCTAAGGCTACATCCGTTTAAACTGAGGGGTGCCGTATCGCTACTGAGTTGGCATTTTAATGATTGTATGAGTGTCAATTTGCACCCCAGGGTTTGCCATATCCTCACACAGATGCTGGGGCTGTAGCCGGTGTCATTGAATTTGCCATAGTAAAGTTAGGCTGGCGAGAAACGGATATAATGATCTACGCGTGGTCGATAGGTGGATTCAGTGCGTCCCGTGCTGTGACCGAATATCCCCGAGTGAAAGGTATGCGCGCAAGCACATCAATAGTGTAAATATCGTTGCGCAGTTACGAGTTCTACGGATTAGTGAATCCTCAGTTACTTGGCGGACACAGTCTGGCACGGGTACTTTATGTGAATCGGTGTGTCATTTAAACAGCACAACACGCAATTGCACACAGAAAGGAGACGGGGTGTTGGTTAACTTTGCAAGCATAAGAGTCTCTACATGCCAAAGGCATCTGCTAGTGTTGGGCAGGTTAGAAAGGTTACGTCGTTGTTCAACATTTACTTCTGCTATGCTTTCACCGCTCATAGGACTGGTTCTGGATGCCACATTCGACCATGTTCTACCCCTGGCCTTGGGTCGTATGCCTCAATGGATGTCAAGTTTGACTCGAAGCACGATTGGCACCTGGCTGAATTTGGATGTGGCGGCGGGAGTAAAGAACTATCCAGGACCCATCAGGTTTATCAGACGCCGGCAGGACGAGATGATATCGTCTAAATTGGTATGCATCCGTGTACCGCTTGTTACTTGCATATAAGAAGACTGATGGTGATAATCGATCTGTAGAACTTGAATGGTCGTCTTGTCCTGACTAATTTGTGCTCAAAATTGGCATCGACGTGGTCATCTGGTATACCATAGCTGCCTACACCTTCCCCTAATATATATTTTCACTTGTTTATAAAGGGTGACCTGTCAAGTAACCGAGGAAACTTCCTGATAACCGAGGTGCTAGAGCACCGATATCCGCATATAATTCGTCGAGATTACATGCTTGCTCTCTTAGGCCATTGTGACGCCATCACTACCCCAGCGGTAAGTACTTCTTTTTATTCATTTCAGCGCTAATAGATTTTATCAATACCATTGAGCTACCAACAAAAATGTTCGATTATCGATTATCATTTTGAAGTAGAAACCTTTAGACTGAACTTTACCTTATTCGATGTTGCGTAGGTTGACGATCCGGCGGTGAAGGAAGTATTGGTGAGTATCTCCTCGTGGTCATCCGAGGATTCTGAGAATTACAGTGAAAAATGGAATAAGCTCCTGCAAGAAACCAGTGACAAGCTAGACCTGAAACAGGTGGCTGTTATCAATAAGTGGCTTTTATGTGTCCATCTAGATGATTTGAATACTAAACATTGCGTCCCTTACCCGTCTTCGCGGTGGCGGGAGCCTAAATTTAGATTCTAAATTAAAATTACTATACACACCTATTCGGTGAAATTATTATTTTGGTTAGTTTGCTTGTGGTGCTTAATTCCACCATTTTTGTGGATAGTATGTGGGCACACACCGGCGGAGTAAAATAGAATGTGTGGTGCTCAGAAGTCCTCTATCCTTCTGCGCGATCGAATTGATCAAGAAACCGCTAAATATAAGTTCGTAATTTATTCGATATAACCTCACTTCGGCTTTATATGTACATTCATTCTTCTCAATGTAATCAGCATAGCGGCATGCTGTTTAATCTTCATCTTTAGCCTCCGGCAGACCACAGGGCGAAAGCATTTTCTGTGATAAGCAATATAACAATATGAGTAGATTGATGTGATTCACATGATTCGACCGATAGGTCCAAGTGCAATGGTTCGACAAACGGCTAATCGGTATAGTTCTGCGAAATTCCGGAAGGGTTTAGTGATGGACTTCTAAGCACGGCGACTGCGGGTACCTTGCATCGAATGAAACTTACACGAAATATACCGAAGACAGTTAATGGCGACGACACTTCGAATAAACAGTTTGTGTTTCAAGATTGTGTTGGTCCACAAATGTTTTCATGTGGGCAAATATCACTTCCAACACATTACGTACTTCCAACTTATTATACACTAGCAATGCTGTGTTCTTGGGTTTGGCCAAAAGTTATCTGCTTCGATATGCACTCCTATCCGAAGACGAATTGAAAGTGTATCACTGTCAATACATAATCTGCATAACGCACACACGTCAGCACACAGCATACCTTTAACATGCGGAATCTGACGACAGCTAAGGGTTCATTTTCAGCGATGGCTATGTGCTGAAGCAGATTGGGATGGCTGATACACGAGGCGTACGTGTCGCGGTGTTGATTGCATAGCCACTCACTACAAGGAGAAGGGCATCTCTTTCAGAACGCACATACACGTGAATCCTATCAACGAGATTCGAAAGTCGCTCTGCGTATTCTGGACTCAAATTCGCAATGCAACATCTCGACTTATATATGAATGGGTGCTTTGCTAACTTAGCTAGCTTTCTCTAAGAACCTGAAGAAAAAACCTAGAATTTGCAATTGTGCGCGAAATCCCCAGCAGTGGTGCGGCTTCGACTACTTGATGCGACGCTCGCCATCCCGAACGAACTACAAGTAACGACATGCGTTTGCAATTTATTCGATCTCTTAACATTATACGCTAGGATCACTATACACTATGATAAAAATGGCACCCAAAATCATACACGATAGGTACAGCAATCGATGTGCTGCAACAAACAAACTTACAATTTACTCGTGTCCGAGTGACCCGTTCCAACGTATCTTGATTGCACTGTTGACAAGATCGTGTGAAATATGTTAGCAATCGACAAGGTGATTCCAATACATCTTTGCGCTGAGGAAAAAATCAACCTACAACTATGTCGCCTATTTAAACCTAGGCGCAAATATATAGATTAGGTACGCAACTTTATGACAATGAAGCAAGGCAGTCATACTTTAGATGCGATAAGTGAACAAATCAGAGTCGAAGATATAATTAGACCCTGAAACATCAGACGCGCAGTCGAGCTCACCAATATCTAACTATACAAGACTCGATAAGCAAACAAAACATTTCGTGTGTGAAGCATCTCCACATGGACGCTCATCGGCGCAAATAGGAAATCCCCAAAACGTTCAAAGAGACTCAATCAGTTACGATACAGACTGCACACCTGGCAACTATATATGGACACCACTTACGATGCTCAAGCTGATTGTTGATGTTATACCGTGCGTCCTGAACAGAGATATAAGGAGACACAGAGTCAGTAAGGAGCGAATGGGGAAGCAATGAGGAATAAATACATCTGAACTTAAATCTATATAAAAGCG